ATCCGTCTGTGTCTGGCTTATTTCACTTAGCATAATGAAAAAGGTCCACCCATATTATAGCATATGTATCAACAGTTCATTGCTTTTTATGGGCTGAATAATATTCCATTGTGCAGATAGACTATATTTTTTTCATTCATTCATCCACTGAAGGACACTCGGATTGTTCCCACCTTTTGGCTACTGCACGTAATGCTGCTATGAACATGGGTATTGGCCTCAGTACTTTTTGTTCAACCTGCCAGCCACACTCTTTCTTTGAGGGCTTTGCATAGACTGTCCCCTTTGCATGGAATGTTCTTCCCCAAAATATACACACTGCTCATTCCTCAATGCCCTCAGATCTTTGTTCAAATGGTGCCTTCTGACCACCTGACTAAATACTGTAACCTGGCACTCCCCATCCCCTTGACTTATGTTTTCTTTTTTCTATAATACTTCCTACTTTCTAACATACTATACAATGTATATTTAATACTTATATATTATATCATTTATTTAGTATATAACAACCGTTTAGTGTCTGTGTCTCTCCGCTAGGATGTCAGCTCCATGAAGGCAAGAATCACTGGCTGTTTCATTTATCTCAGGGACCCATGTAGGCAGGTGCTCAATATAAAGTTTGTTTGATGAGTTTAAGATTGCAAGCCTAATTGTTGATTTACACACTTCAAACTGGAGTCACAAGTCTAACGCCAAACTCTCTTAGATGCCCCCAAATACTTAAAATACCACATATATATGGATTACTTCAAATCTGGGCTGGAATTGGGGTTAACTTCTCAACTGGCCGAGCATACATGTCTCTGGGAATTCAGGTCGAGGAATGCGATCTGGAGCTGTAGACAGCCAGCATGATTTTTTCTCATGACCTGAGGACCATGCTGAAACTTGGTGTTTGTCCCTGGCCCTGGCACCAAAGTTTGTACGGCACAATCGAGGGAATGGGTGTGAGCAGAAACTTAGCTCATGACCCGCTCACCAGGTGGAGGGCTTGAGCCCTGGCACAGGGCTGCTTCTGTTGGATAGATAGGACATCTCTCCATCCACCCAAGGCCCATATGGGCTGTTGTGACTCTGCTTTGTCAAAGGAGATGCCAGCCCACAGCCTTCACTCAATTCCATATTTCCTACATTTCAGGTCTGTTGAGGCTGCCACTCCCCACCCACTTCCCTCTTCGGATTTAACGAACGCAGTTACTATCTGATTCAATTCTGAGTTCCCATGTGGTAGGGCCATGAGTCTCAAAGATATTTCCCTGACAACAGACTGGACTGTCACACCTCCCATAGTACAGTCTGACACAGCTTTATACAGACTGCTAAGGCATTTGAATGACACCTTCCTCCCTTTTTTTTTTAATCTAACAAACATTTACACAGTCTTTACTAGGTGCCAGGTCCATTCCAAATATTAACCCATTAAATCCTCTAACCTCGGAGGTAGGTCACATTATTATCCCATTTTACCAAGGAGGAAACTAAAGCTCAGAGAATTATGTGACCCGCCTGAGATCATGCAGCTACAGGGCTGAGATTCAAACCTGTCCCACTGGCTCCAGTGTCTGTGTTTCTAACTGTGATGCTTTGCTACCTCGAAGCTTTTTTCTTGTCTCTTCTCCCTCTTTCCCTGCTTGCTTCCCTCCCCTTCCCTATTCCCCTCTCTTCCTGCCTCCATTCTCTGCTTCCTTCCTTACTGACTCTGGTGGCTGCCACCTGCTTCCCCTAGACACCACCCAGCCTCACACACCCTCTGCCCGTCCTCCCCCCACCCCCCGAGCAGGCCCTGCCAGTCCTTCCATCACCACTCATCCCCTGGGCCAGCGAAGGAGGTGTGCCAGTCTCTACTCCCTCACCCCGCCTGTACACCACCACGGGGGCAACTGACAGAAGCCTGGGGAACTGGGGCCCGGGCCAGCCTGGAGGGAAGCCAGATCTCTGGGGCATTACGTGACATGCCGCACACCTTCCCCGTATGCTGCCCACATTCCAATTTTCCTTTCCTGATCTGGGATTTTAATGTGATGCCAAGACATCCAGTGCTGCTTGGGATAAACTTAGATAAAAAGGGGTCTGAAAGAGAGATAGAGACAGAGACGGAAAGCCAGAGAAAGAGAGAAGCCAAAGCTGGAAGGCAAAGGTGAGGAGACCAGACCCTACCATTGGAAGTGGCCCCCTACAGTGCTGGGAACCACTCTAAGTGTGAATGAACTCTTCTAAGTTTCTCAAAGGACTCATGTTCTTCGCATGATCATGCCTTTGCAGATGCTGCTCCTCCACCCTAGAAGGCCCTTCCCAATCATCTCTACCTTAGGACTCTCCTCACATGTTGCCACCGCTGGGAAGCCTTTTCTGAATTCCCACAGGGAATTTCATCAGCCTCCCCTTTGAAGCCAGAGCATCTCACACATGTGCACACTTCTCTCTCTATTTTAATGAATTGGATTATGAGACTCTGTGTCGCTTGCCAGCTGAGGCTCCCAAGACTGAGACCATCCTGCCTTCACAGAAGAACAGTGGGGGTGGTGAAAGTCTCAAGGCAAGATGATTCTGGGTCAGCATGTACCAGCTGTGTGACCTTGGGCAAGTCACATAACCTCTCTGAGCCCCAGATTCCTCACAAGATGAGAACAATATTAATTTGGACAACACAGGATTGTATGAGAATTAAATGAGTCAAGATAGGTAAAGCACGTAAAACAGTCACTGGTGCATCTGACTCAGTAAATATTAGTCATTATTATTATTATTAAAACAGAAACAGTAATAGAGTTGCCCAAAGGATTTACATGAAAATACTTTTGATAATCTGTAAGGCACACAGTAAAGTCTTGGCACCATCATTCTGAAAAATATCAATAGATCAGCAGTGGCTGACACATAATGACTTCCAGAATTAATTCACACTCTGCAGGCCACATTGCCACTTTGAGCAAATGAAATACTGAATGAGACACTGGCTTTTGTAAACGATAGAATGGCAGGCAAAATCATGATGGTTTAATAAAAGGTTCATCACCTGACTCCAAACATAGTCCTGGCTCTAGGAGTGGCCCATTCTGGGACTGATTTGGTCCCAGACGTAAGATGAGGGGTTTTCACTTTCCAAGTCCTGGCACCAGGACCCATGGCAGAGGCTGGCAGCAGGAAGACAGAGCTGAGTCTGTCGCTTCACTACTGACAAGTTGGCAGGTCTCTTCCTTGTCCCTGCCAAGGCGCAAAGGAGAGTCACTGTCCACTCCTGCCAACTCTGTGAAGGTTTTAAAACAGTTTGGCCAGCAAGTTGAAAATATGAAAGAGTTTGCAAGTCTTTGGACCTCATTTTATCTGCACAAATGGGCAAAGTGAGGCCAAGAGAAGGGAAGGGACCTGTTTGGAGTCACAAAGGAAGGTGCAGCCACTGCTAGAACCCATGGTTCTGGACGTGTAGCTCGCTGCCCCTTCACTGGCCATTTCCTCCCAAAAGCTCGATGCTGTCTATGCTGGGAGTCCCACGTGCTTACATGGGAGGTGATGGAGGCCCAGTGCTAGTTGTAGAATCAGTGCTGCTGTCCAGTCAGAGCAGTGTTAAGGACCCACCCTCCACCACCCCTGGCAACCACCAATCTGTTTTCTTTATCTACAAGCTTGGCTTTTGTTTGTTTTTTTTATTTCCACATATAACTGAGAGCCTAAGGCATTTGTCTTTCTCTGGATTATTTCACTTAACATAGTGCCTTCAAAATCTACTTCTGTCATTGCAAATGGCAACTTTTCATTCTTTTTCATGGCTGAATAATATTCCATTTATATGTATCTACCACATTTTATTTATCCATTCATCCATCCATGGACAAAGGTCATCTCCACATCTTAGCTACTATAAAAAATGCTGCAGTGAACACAGTGGTGGGATGCATATATCTTTCTGCATTAGTATTTCCATTTTCTTTGGATAAACACCCAAAAGTGGGACTGCTGGATCATATGGTATTCCTATTTTTAATTCTTTGAAGAATCCCTACAGTTTTCCATAGTGGTTGCACCAGCTGACATTCCCAGCGGTGCACAAGGGTTCTCTTTTCTCCATATCCTCACCAACAACCAGCTCATGTCTTTTTAGTAGTAGCCATTCTGACAGGTGTAAGAGGATACCTCCTAGTGGTTTTGATTTACATTTGAAAATGCCACAGAGCTACCACAGATTTGACCACACTGTACACCCACCAGCGGGACACGCCCTCTGATTCCAAGTCCCCACTCTAATGTGGTTGTATTCCAGATCTTTCCACATCCTCCACGTCTCCAGAATATTCCTGTCATCTCTAGCTCTCAGGAATTTAAACTCAAATTAAATTAGACCTGCTGCTGGGGGTGGGGAGGAAGCGTTAAAGAGCTCTCGGTGCCCCAGTCCTTCGCACTTGGTCAAGAGCTAAAAAAACCAGAGGTTTCAGTTTTCCCACCTGCACGATGAGTTGGGGAGCAAGCCGCGCTGCGGGTAACGACCTGGGACCGCAGCGGAGCAATACCGCAGCGCCCCAAACGGGGGGTTCCCACACCGCGCCGGCGCGGAACACCTCCCGGCCTCCCCAAACCTCCCCGCGCCGCAGGAATCAGCCCCGCCCACTTCTTGCCTCGAAGACTCGGCGCTCGACGGGCGTTTGTCAGCCTGCTTTCCGGTTTCGGCACCGCCGCAGGCGCGCCTGCCGAGCGCCGAGCAACCGATGGAGGTGGGGGGGCTGGGCCGCGGCTGCGTGAGAGACCGCGGAGGCCCAGGGCCGGGGCGGACAGCGGGCGGGCCTGGGCCGCCGCGGGAGCCCTGCCGGGTACAGGGGGCCGCGCCGGGCTGAGCGGCAGGGACGCGGCTGCCCGCAGGAACGTACACGGCGGCCGCGAGTGTGGGGGGCGTGTGTGTGACGTGCGCGGTGGGAGATGGGGCCTCGGCCGTGCCGCCGCCGTGTGCGTGAGGTGACTGGGCTCTGGTTGTGTGGGTGCGCGGGCCCGCGGGTGGGTGCGGTTGTATTTGGTTATGCGGCTGATGGGTGGGCGGGTGGCTGTCTCCCGGGTGGAGTGTTTGGTTCTCTAGTTGCTTTAGGTTGAGACGTTATAGGCTCTGAGTTTGTGCGGAGTTGTTGATAGGGTTTTGTGTGGCGTCGGTGCAATTGGTGGCGTTGTCACGTCTGCTCTTTCGTGTCGTGTGTTACACGACGTGTGCACAGTCGTGCCGATTTATGTGGAGGGTGGTTGTGTGCTCTCGTGAGGCCGTCATGAGTGGAATGTGTTTCTGTGAGGTACGTAGCAGGGTAGCATCTGTGCCGGACCTAGAGTTGCAGCATATGTAGATTTTATTTTTATTTTTTACTTGGGTTAGGGTGTGCGGGGCTTGCCTGTGTTATCGTTGTGGGGTCTGGCTCGGTGGTTTGCAGTAGATTTCTTTGGTTTGTGGTGGGTGTGTGGTTATATGAATTTACAGTTCATTCATTCATTCGTGGAGCTGTATGGCGTTGCTTCGAGGTTCGTGCCAGGCCCAGGCCTAGACCCTGGGCCTGGCGGGGAAAACAGGCAGTCTCTGCCCTCACAGAGTTTAGTCTTATGTATTTAGTAATTTTATATGCTTATGATTATAAATTGGGGTAAATAATGTGAAGGAAAAGAGCCGGGCAGGCCCATGGGAGAATTCAAGTAAGAGACATTTCCTTAAGGAAGCGAGGTTGGGTTGAGATGTGAAGGGTGTGTATGTGTTTAATTTGTGGTTGTGAGGGGTGAGTAGTGGGAAGGAAGGGGGCTTTGGGAGTCAGGGAGTCAGAAGAACCATTGGTTTGGAAGGGAACTGGAGCTTCTCTTTAAGCGAGCATCTGGAAACGGGGCTGACATCGGCACGTGTACAGTCACTGGATTTCTTAGAGGTAAAAACCAGGGACCTAGTGTTTCATTTCACCACCACCCTTAAGTTTTGAGACCTGGGAGGTCTCCCCTCAGTGACTCTCTCAAAGCCGAGGGTCACACGGTCTCTCTCACCTCTCTACTGTGATTTGGGGCCTCAGGGGCTTGGGGAGAAATTTCTCTGCTTCTGTGGAATGGTTTTATATAGGTTCTCCCAATGGCCAGGAGTTTTTCTTAGGTGACATTGGAAGTAACTTCGCCACAGTCCAGTAAAACTGAAAGTGTAATTTATTAAGCCCTGAATTGTTTAAGCACCGAGTCCTTTTCTTTTTAAAGCAGTGAGTCTGTTAGGCTGCTGCTCAACTGTCACTTGCTGGTTTAAAAACTCTAGTAAAGGTCACAGGAGAGAAAGTGCTCTACAAATGTGAGTTGTGTACAAGTTTTTGTGTGACATGTATCGTCATACCTCTTGGGTGGAGTTGTTGGGTCCTGTGTTAACTCTTTAACCTTTTGAGGGGTTGCTCAGCTGTAACTATTTTCCAAAGTGGCTGTACCATTTTCCAGTCCTACTGGAGTGTGAAATAGATTTTTCTTTTTGACTGACTAGGTTTCTTATGCTCTTCCTGAAACTGAGGTTGAGATTTTTTTGGTTTGGTTTGGTTTGGTTTGGTTTTTAGGCCAGACACAATCTCTTTTTCATCGTTGCATTTTTGGTACAGGTGCAAGAGCACAATACATGAGGTTGAATAAATGATCAAGGTGAAGAGAGTCAAACAAAAACTCTGCATGTTGATAAGTACTTCAGACATTTCTCCAGTGGCTAAAGTAGCATGCAAGTTATGAAGTTGGACCATTTGGAATGAATTTAGGGAATTGGTTGGTATGTTGTCTTTGCTGTTGAAGTTGAATTTGTTTTTTTCTTACCTTCAAGGAACTGTGCTCTCGACTTCTTTGAGTTGCCATTGTCCAATGATGTTCCTATATATCTTAAAAGTTTTTGTATTTTGGTCTAAGGATTTGCACAGAAAAAACATTAAATACCTTTGCTTAATTGTGAAAAGAATCAAGAAAGTTTTCAGTTGCTGCTAATTTGCCTGAATTGATTTTTTCCCCTCCTCTTTCCTGTCTCAGGGCTTCTCCTGATTCAGAGGATGAGGAGACCACGATGCAGCTTCTCCATCATCTGTGTGCTGCTTGGTTAGGCTAATGCTGCAGCAACCCTAGGCCACTGCAGAAGAATCAAGCTGACTCTTGGCATGAAGCCCCTGCCTTGTGGGGGTTGAGAGGGACACTACCATGGCTTCTCTGGATGACCCAGGGGAAGTGAGAGAGGGCTTCCTTTGCCCTTTGTGCCTGAAGGACCTGCAGTCTTTCTATCAGCTTCAGTCACACTATGAGGAAGAGCACTCTGGGGAAGACCGTGATGTCAAAGGGCAAATTAAAAGTAAGAGGCGAGGATTTTTTGCTTATCCCATTCTGTCAGTGGGAGCTTTAACTCACGGGATGGTTTTCATTGGCATCCATGTTGCCACCAGAACATGATAAACAATAGCAAATTAATAGTAATAGTAGTGAACATATATCTAGTGCTTACTGTGTGCCAGGCATTGCTCAGAGTCTTCCCATGTGTTAACTTCATTTAATCCTCACAATGACTGACTATGAGCCCCATTTCATCAGACAGAGAGAGATTAGATAACTTGCCTAAGTCACACAGTGAGGCAGAATCTGGCTTTGAACCTACTAAATGTTACTGTGCCCTGCTGTTTCTTGCTAGACTGTTTGAATTATCTAACTGCCAGCCTAAGGGGATTTTGGAGTGAAATTCTTTGCTTTTGCTCTGAAAATGGAGGCACACTGTGCACCCATCAACCTGCCACAAACCCAAGCCTTCCTGTCATCTTTCCTTCCCCCAGTAGACCTTGTCCTCTGCAGCCCAGGAAAAGGAAGGTCATAGTTGAAAGCAAGGAGAAACAACCCAAAAGGTTAAAATTTGGTTTTTGAGCTTACAAGGGCTGAGGTCCTGGAGTGTTTCTGTAAATAATTTTTCAAAGTAATTTTGACTATACATAGTGTTCATTTCCTAGACTTCAGCTTCTAATTCCTAAATATGCTGCTGCTGCTCTGGAACCTTCTCTAGTGATTCAGCTAGCCTGCTTCTTACAGCCAGCAGCATTTCTGAAGGCAGTGAGATTAGAAAGGTCTGGGTGCTATATGCACAGTACTTTGTTGGGTGGGAGAGAAAGGACTGAGATTAGAAAGGTCTGGGTGCTATATGCACAGTACTTTGTTGGGTGGGAGAGAAAGAACTGATCATGTATTCCAAAGTGGACTTTGGCTTCACACGTTTGAGTCACGTGTACCCTGTAATCAAATAGTAGCATTCCATGTGTCACTTTTCAGTTCAGAAAGAAAGAGTTGTTGAAAGCATTATTATTTCTCAGTTCTGTCCAAAAAATCATGACAATGTCAAACATTTTTCAAATCCTTTGGGCTGTGGTGGATGAGGTGACTTTTGCCTATAAAGCTGGAGCAGAGCTGGAGCTACTAGGAGGCAAAAAAAAAAAGTTTTGTGCTTTATAGTTTTCAGAGTTTTTTCATACACATGATTATTTCATTTGACTCTTCCAGCAACCTTAGAGAAAGATGGTTGGTCTCATTTACAGAGATGTTGAGTGACTTATGCAAGGTCACACAGGAATTGGCAGAGCTAGTCAAGTGCTGTTCCTTCCATATGGTATCGCTGATGATATAGGCTCTGTATTCCAGTCAAAGCATGCAACTGGAAAACAGACCAATTATCTGAGTTTCCTGGGATAATTGAAGGGCTTGCATGATTTTCAGTGAGTGTCCAGTCTTAATATCAGCTGGACTGAGTCATATACCATGATATCACTAAGACTCTTGATGTCAGTGGGTAGAGAGGTTAAAGAATATCCTCAGATTCCTGAGATGACCCTTTTAGTAGAGGAAAAATGTTTAAGGTTATTTAGGGAATAATAGGGAAATCTATTTAAAGACTACTAGAATGGAAATTTTGTTCCTTGTGAAATAAACCTGAAAGGATTTGATTCTCTTGTTTTTTTTTTCTATTAAGGTATCATTGATATACACTCTTATGAAGGTTTCAGAAGAAAAACAATGTGGTTATTAAATTCACCCTTATTATCAAGCACCACCCATACCCCATTGCAGTCACTGTCCATCAGTGTAAAAAGATGCCACAGAGTCCCTATTTGTCTTCTCTGAGCCATACTGTCTTCCCTGTGACCCCACACATACTGTGTGCACCAATCATGATCCCCCCCAATCCCCTTCTCCCTCCCTTCCCACACACACCCTCCCCCATCCCTCCCCTTTGGTAACTGCTAGTCCCTTCTTGGAGTCTGTGACTCTGCTATTGTTTTGTTCCTTCAGTTTTGCTTTGTTGTTGTACTTCACAAATGAGGGAAATCATTTGGTATTTGTCTTTCTCTGACTTATTTCACTGAGCATAATACCCTCTAGCTCCATCCATGTTGTTGCAAATGGTAGGATTTGTTTCTTTCTTATGGCTGAATAGTATTCCATTGTATAAATGTACCACATCTTCTTTATCTGTTCATCTACTGATGGACACTTAGGTTGCTTTCATATCTTGGCTATTGTAAATACTACTGCATAAACATAGGGGTGCACATGTCTTTTTGAATCTGAGAAGTTGTTTTCTTTGGGTAAATTCCTAGGAGTGGAATTCCTGGGTCAAATGGTATTTCTATTTTGAGTTTCTTGAGGAACCTCCATACTGCTTTCCACAACAGTTGAACTAGTTTACATTCCCACCAGCAGTGTAGGAGGGTTCCCCTTTCTCCACATTCTCACCAGCATTTGTTGTTCCTAGTATGTTGGCCATCCTAACTGTTGTAATGTGATATCTCATAGTGGTTCGAATTTGCATTTCCCTGATAATTAGTTATGCGGAGCATCTTTTCATGTGCCTGTTGGCCATCTGAATTTCTTCTTTGGTGAAGTGTCTGTTTAGGTCCTCTGCCCATTTTTTAATTGGATTATTTGCTTTTTATTTGTTGAGGTGCATGAGCTCTTTGTATATTTTGGATGTCAACCCCTTATCGGATCTGTCATTTATGAATATATTTTCCCATACTGTAGAATGCCTTTTTGTTCTACTGATGGTGTCCTTTGCTGTACAGAAGCTTTTTAGTTTGATATAGTCCCACTTGTTCATTTTTGCTTCTGTTTCCCTTGCCTGTGGAGATATGTTCATGAAGAAGTTGTTCATGTTTATATTCAAGAGAGTTTTGCCTATGTTTTCTTCTAAGAGTTTTATGGTTTCATGACTTACATTCAGGTCTTTGATCCATTTTGAGTTTACTTTGTGTATGAGGCTAGACAGTTATCCAGTTTCATTCTCTTACATGTAGCTGTCCAGTTTTGCCAGCACCATCTGTGGAAGAGACTCTCATTCCCTATTGTATGTTCATGGCTCCTTTATCATATATTAATTGACCATATATGCTTGCGTTTATATCTGGGCTCTCTAGTCTGTTCCATTGGTCTATGGGTTTATTCTTGTGCCAGTACCAAATTGTCTTGATTACCATGGCTCTGTAGTAGAGCTCAGAGTGGGGGAGCATAATCCCCCCCACTTGATTCTTCCTTCTCAGAATTGCTTTGGCTATTCGGGGTCTTTTGTGGTTCCATATGAATTTTAGAACTATTTGCTCTTGTTCATTGAAGAGTGCTGTTGGTATTTTGATAGGGATTGCATTGAATCTGTAGATTGCTTTAGGCAGGATGGCCGTTTTGACCATATTAATTCTTCCTATCCATGAGCATGAGATGTGTTTCCATTTATTGGTATCTTCTTTAATTTCTCTCATGAGTGTCTTGTAGTTTTCAGAGTATAAGTCTTTCATTTCCTTGGTTAGGTTTATTCCTAGGCATTTTATTCTTTTTGATGCAATTCTGAATGGAATTGTTTTTCTGATTTCTCTTTCTGCTAGTTCATTGTTAGTGTATAGGAAAGCAACAGATTTCTGTGTATTAATTTTGTATCCTGCAACTTTGCTGAATTCAGATATTAGATCTGGTAGTTTTGGAGTGGATTCTTTAGGGATTTTTATGTACAATATCATGTCATTTGCAAACAGGGACAGTTTAACTTCTTCCTTGCCGATTGGGATGTCTTTTATTTCTTTGTGTTGTCTGATTGCGTTGGTTAAGACCTCCAGTACTATGTTGAATAGAAGTAGGGAGAGTGGGCGTCCTTGTCTTGTTCCCAATCTTAAAGGAAAAGCTTTCAGCTTCTCACTCTTCAGTATGATGTTGGCTGTGGGTTTGTCATATATGGCCTTTATTATGTTGAGGTACTTGCCCTCTATACTGATTCTCTTGGTTTTTTCCCCCATCTCTCTCAGAAGAACCAAGATTGGGTTAATTTATTCCTTTAGTACTGTTAATTGCATTCCTTTAGTATTGTTAATGACCACTTCTTTAGTGAGGAACAAATTCTTGCTTGTGTTACAGTCTTCTGTGTTTCAGAATCAAAAAAGTCAAGTTTTAAAGGACATCAAATATTTTTGAAAAGTCCTTTAAAGATAAGATTACTTCATTTGGTCCTTTGATTCTTAGAAATTTTATGACATTGGTAGTTTCAGCAAGTGAAATGTTAAAGCCGAAAGAGCAAACCTTGGTATCAGGTGTTAGAGGCAGTTTAAAAAAGAGAATAGAAACTTGTCATTACGGAAAAGTGGTAGGTGAGTTTGGGCCCCCAGCCTTGGTTCAGCGTCAGTTTAACACATGTATAGTAAGTATAAGACAAGGTGGTTGAAAAATTAACTGTGGCTTCTGCTTTGTGTTTTTAAAAACATACGGGATTGTTCTTAATTGGCCCCCTTTTGAAGGGCTACACCCACCCTGGGAAGGTTGCCAGGCAGTTTTTCTGTGCCTCATAAAGTAGTTAAACATCATGGACTGCTTGTTTACCTCGACAGTTTAGTCTTGTTTGCAAAAATGAATTGGTGTTTGCTAACTTCATTTTCCTGTGTGCTAGATCCTTTGTTTACACCAGGCAGTTTCCTCTCCCCTGTTGTTAAAAAACCACTGTAAGCGTTTTAGAGGATGTCCTTTAGTACTGGTGGACCTAACATATCCATTTGAAGAAAGCCCTCCCAGAGTGACAGATAATCAGGCAGTTTGCTTATTATTACCTTGACTTTCTAACAAAGACCTATTTAGAACCTTATCAGTTTCACCCCCTGCCTACTAGCCCCTCTGTATTTGCATTTACTTAGATATTTGAAAAGCTATGGGAGTGTTTTTAATGTTATCCAAACAACAGAGCACTTTAAAATCATGGGAATTTCATGAAGTATTTATTAATGTACAAGAAATTTTATCATTTTGTATTAAATCATATTTTGTACTAGATTTTAGTTGCAGAAAGGGGTAGCAGTCACCCAAGATTTAAGAACCTTAATAAGAGCAACTTAGAATCAAGATTCTTTTTCTGCCCCCCCCCCCCCAGTTGACTGTTAGTCCATTGTAATGGGCCTCTTACTGCAGTACGGGGGGGCAGAACGCCATTCTGCAGAGGCACAGTGTTTGAGCCAGTGATGGCTCGGGAGAGCTGGCACTCTCATCTCGGACAGGTGAGGTCTCCAGTCCCAGCCCTGCTGCCTGTCTGCTCTGATCTGGGTGAAGCAAGTTATTCCCCCTCTTTAATGTCATGTCCTCATTTTTAAGTAGGGATACAGCCTGCCTCATAATGTGAGCATGGACTGGTATAATGTATTTGAAAGCACTTTGCTTTGCACCTGGTACAGACAAGGAATCCAGAAAAACATTCATTTTTCTCTTCTTACCAAGTCTAGTTTCCTGTGTGTTATGTTGTAGGTGTTATACCTGCTTCTTGCAGCTTCTTGTCAGTATTCTCAGACATGCTTTCATGAGTGAGTGGGGAAGAACTCTGTGTACAGTTAAGGAGTATGGGGAACACCAGCTCAGGGGTGTTGCCTTGGCTGAAGCCCATCCTGGAAGTAAACTTCCTGAGCATTTTTAAGCAAAGTCTAATTATTTCATCAACTCTTACATTTTGAGATTTTTCTCAACTTTATGAGGTCTTCTTCATGGGTTCATTTAATGGTGTTCCGTTTTTCAAGGTTTTGTCCAGAAGGCTAAGAAAGCAAAGAACAGGCTGTTGAAGCGAGAAGGAGATGACCGAGCAGAATCGGGGAGCCAAGGATATGAGTCTTTCAGCTATGGAGGGGTGGACCCTTACATGTGGGAACCCCAGGAGCTGGGTAAGAAAAATCTATTCATTCATTCAGCAGATGTATATTGAACATCTGTATGTTCTAGGTAATGTCTTAAGAGGGGGCCTAGTAAAGCAGAATGGTCTAAGCATCCTTGGACCTTATGTCCTAGCTGGGGAAGGAAATAGGCGAGAATGAGCTGAGCATCTGCTGTGTGTCAGCCCCTGCATTACGTGCTGTACAGGTGTGCTCTCATTTCATCCTCACTGCCTTCGTGGGGGCCTGCTCAGGGCCAAACAGCTGCGAAGCTGCAGAACTGAGGTAGGAATCCAGGTGTCTGACATCAGCCCAGGCAGAGTCCAGTGACTGGTCTCTATCTTCACACAAATGATGTTACCTGCCTAGTGAGAAGCACTGGTTTGCAGCTTAATTTTCTGAAACACAGAACTATGGTATCTACTTACTTTCAAAATAGTCATCCTTTTGGGGTGATGAAAATGTTCTAAAATTTATTTTGGTGATGGTTGCATAATTCTGTGAGTATATTAAAAAACATTAAATCTGTATGTTTTAAAAGGTGGATTGTTTGTATGTGAACAATATCTCAGTAAAGCTGTTACCAGAGGGGATCATGCCACCCAGAGTTGAACTAGCAAATCTTACATGGCCTTTAACTGTTGAATGATGACAGTCATTCATACAATGTTTTCTATCCATGCAACAGATAAGTAATGATTCTTCATAGTACTTTGTTATATTCCTTACTCATTATGTTGTGGCCCTTTCACAAAAGCCTCATGAGGTAGAATGGGTGGGGATGCTAATTCCCATTTATACATGAGGAGACAGGCTCTAAGAAAGGCAGTGATATTTACTCAGGGTCGCCGGTCATATTCTTTAAGTGTCACTATGGAAAGTATCCTTTTGGATAAGGAGAGACCAGTGTGAGAGCTGCTTACTATATATGGCTATTTAAATCTAAGTAATTAAATAAAATTAAAGTCAGTTCCTCAACCACACACTAGTCACATTTTAAGTGCTTAGTTTCCACATGTGGGCAGTGGCTACACATTGTAATCATGGCAGGAGAAAATGGGTTTAAAAAGAATACTATACACATATAATTATTAGTTATGTGTGAAACCAATTAGAAACATGAAGGTGAAATTTCAGGCTTGTGAATTCTTACTAGCTTTTTGATATCTTATGATTGCCAATATTAAATTATCAGGGTGATTTTCTGATTAGCTTAGCTTGCCTGTTTCAAGAGCTGAAGGAAGTCACAGATTGTGAAAGGGCCAGTGAATGGCAAATGTTAGAAGTTAATATTTACAGTCACCCCTAAGAATTCAAAACTAAAATTTAATTAGATGTTAGAGTGCGGTTAGGGAAGAAGAGACTTGTGGATGGTTCAGAGTGTAGCATGTGAGACATTACAGATATGGGACAGTAATATAAATGAATAGGCCATCATTGGGAGGAGGAGGTGAACAAGTCCTGGGAAGGGAAGAGGGCAGGGCTGGTTTTCTGGAAGAGGTGAAACTGAATAAGAGCTATTCCAGATATTCAGAAAGACAAGCTCCTTGGTTCCATTTGTGTGAGGAGATTTGTCCTGGGTCTTGGCTGCTGGACCAAGGAAGGTACCAGTTTAACTAGCTAAATGGGCATCTATTAGCATTTACATTTTCTTGGCTGTTTTGAGAAGGATTGTTTTTATTCTGATGAAAAACACATTGTACCAACTTTGGAAAGTACGGCAAAGTATGAGAGATTTTTTAAAATCGCCCATGTCACTGCTCTTTTTAACAAAAATTCTTGTGCCAGGCAGTGTTTGAAGGGCTTTATAAACTTTAACCTATTTAATCCTCGTAACAGCCCTGTGGAGTAGGTACTGTTGTCATCCCCATTTTATAGATGAGTACTCCAAGTTACAGAGAAGTTAAGGAAGGTACAAGGTCACACAGTGTGTGGCAGAATTGAAACTTGAGCCCGGCTGGTTCTAGAGCCCAAGTTCTTATCTGCTGTACTCTGAGCTCTCTCATATTGCACTTGTGGCCTCCAAGGCAACCATAGTTGACATTTTAGCAAGTTTCCTTCCATTTGCTTTTCCAGTTTTTGAATTTGTAGCAAAACCCTCAAATCTCAAGGTTTTTACTTGCTTTTGAAATGTATTGAGGGTAAGCAGCAAGGTAGAGAGGCTTCCTTAGAGGAATGACAAGTCATCTTCCCACCTTCTCTCCTAGGTGCTATCAGAAGCCATCTTTCTGACTTCAAAAAACATCGAGCTGCCAGAATTGACCACTACGTTGTTGAAGTCAATAAATTAATAATCAGATTAGAGAAGGTAAATTTTGTTCTCTTAAAACCCTTTTTTTCTGCAAGTATGAACTTCTTGTGGGGGAAGAATTACATTTGTGCAGCAGGTGTTGTGTATGTCCTGTGTATCTGACGCTGACAGGAAATGACCTACCTGCAGAGTACAGGCAACATGTAAGCCTGGGCTGGGTTTCCTGAAGGGCATGGCCCAGGTCCACAAACCTGCCACATATCCAGCTTCCCTTTTCCTTCCCATGAAGCCTCTCTGGCTGCTGGAAACCCTTTCCACCTTCAGATTCTTTCCTCTTTTGGGTGTCCCAGGCCCAGTCACACAGTGGGGCACAGTGTATGGTAGTATTTGGCAGCAAACAGACGCTGGTGACCGACCAGGTGTGTGAGGAGTAGTCAGCAGGGCAGGTGTAGTGGGTGGGAGGATCCTGCCTGGGATCTTCTTGTCCTGAGGTGGGAGAGTGTGTCTCCAATGTCTTGATCACTGTTTTACCTTGATCCTGGAAACGCCTGTTGTGTATAAGCTGGATTGTGTGATGGGCCTGGTAGCAACCATAAGTACAGTTCTTTAGGTGTGCTTTGTAGTAGCGCAGAGGTAGATGGCCTGTTTTGTTACCCAGGGGGAGCATGGAGATCGGGAGTCTGTGCTGCTTTCAGTAGCTTGTCCCCACCATATCCTTGTCTATCCCTAGTTATTGTTTAAGTGAGTAACTGACACTAAAGAGGTTGGAAGTGGGTCATGAGAAGGAAGGCGCCTTCTAGATGCAAAGCTGAGACTCTGTCACGTGAAATTGCTTCTCAGACTCTGTGGGCTTGGGGATGAGACTGGAGAAAGGCAGATATGCTCATTCCTCTTGGTGTGTCTTGTTGGGGAGGGTGTATATGTCTCCTGATTAATGCCCCTGGACACTGTTTTCTCCTCGCCAGCTCACTGCCTTTGACAGAATGAATACTGAGTCCACCAAGATCCGAGGTACCTCTAGAGCTCTGCTCACATTCCTTCTGTGTTATTTGTATCTGACCAAATTCCTTTTTAAAATGTTTTGCTTTTTTATTCGTTTGAGTTTTTTGTTTTGTTCTTTCTGAAGCCATAGAAAAGTCTGTGGTGCCTTGGGTGAACGATCAGGATGTCCCTTTCTGCCCAGACTGTGGGAGCAAGTTCAGCATCCGGCACCGCCGGCACCACTGCCGCCTCTGTGGGTCCATTATGTGCAAGAAGTGCTCGGAGCTCATCAGCCTTCCCTTGGCAAGTAGGTCATGTGGGTGCCAGCCTGGACCTTGGTCTCCTCCTGAGACTAGCTGCTTGCTAGTGATTTTGTGAACCTTTTTGTTTCAATGAATGACCTGTGGGATCTCATTCATTCACTTGTTGATTCCATAAAACTCACTTAGGTGAAGCACTATGCTAGGAACCAGGGATACAATGGTCTGTAACAGAGGTTGGCAAATTTTTTTGCAAAAGGTCAAATAGTAAATAGTTTAAGCTCTCTGTGACATTTCTTCTTCTTTTTATAAACTATGCCTTTAAAAATGTAAACACCATACTTAGGTCAGGGACCATACAAAAACAGGCCAGACTTGGCTTGCAAGTGATGTTTGCCCACATCCAGTCCAGAAGGCATCCTCCAAGTGGTCCTGCATCTAACAGGAACACGACTTACAAACAATTGCTTATAAAGAGTTAAGTATGATGACAGAAGTTGTGGCAGACACTAGGATAAATGTTGGTCAGCTGTGCTTGGAAGTGGCAGGTGGAGGCCTTGAGAGGAGTCTAGGAGGGAGTCTTCAAAACTGAGCAGCAGGCTAGTCCTTTCCTTTGAGAAAAAAGCCACGAATAGCTCCCTGTACTATGGAAAAGACCATAATGTCATAATATGAGAGACAATGAGTGCCTTGGGGTTGGGGGAGAGTGGGAACATAGATGCTTGGGGTAGGGGAGTGATATTTGAGGATGCTGCTGAAGGTGGCTGGGATTGCGGAGGTTGGCAGCACTGTGGGCAGAGGGAGGAGCAGGAGTGAGGACATGGCTTGTGGGAGGCCTGGGAAGGGCGTGGGTGAGTGAGGAGAATGGGGTGTGTAGAGGACCTGTTTGAGAATGGTGGGAATGAGGCTACACAAGTCAGGTGGAATCAGATGGGCCAGAACTGTGAAATCAGCTGTTTAAAAGTTGCTCAGGATGATCTTGGGCTCGTGGCCAGTCCTGGGGCATCTGGAGTGGTTTTGCAATCCTGGAGAGTTCTGCCAACTTGGCACATGCTACTGGCTTCAGAGCCTCCAGACAACATGAGGCAGAAGCAAGGCTTCCTCCATCCAGTGCTTGCCCCCAGTGGGCACACATTCCCTTGATACTGTCTCTTGCTCCCTGTCTCATCTAGCTTACGTCATAAGCTGTGTTTCGGACACCATTCACCTTTCTTCTCTTGGGCTAATTGACTGACACTTACTAGGTCTGCTCTGGTCCAGTTGGATATGTAGGATACAAGTATGTATGAGACGCAGTTTCTACTCACAGAGTCATAGATGCCTCAGGCAGCTTGGGGCTACATACAAGTGTCATATGGGAGAAGGTGGAGAGTCCTCTGGGAGGGGTGATGTGGTAGGAACTGTAGGAAGGGCAGTTGTTTTTGCCTCAAGGAACAGGGGAGGGCTGCCCTCTGCTCTGAGCTTTGGAAAGGGGAGAAACTTGTTGGTACCGTCTGGGGACAGCATGGATTGTGTCAGAGTCATGGCCAGCAGAGGAGGGCCTTAGGTGGTAAGGACAGGTGAGGGGTCTCAGAGCCCAAAGACAGATAGTCGTAGGCTGTCCGGCAGTGGAAGACCCTCCCACCTAGAGCCTGACCTCAGTAGGTGGAGGGTGGGGAGCTGCTCGCCGGGGTGGGCAGAGCCGGATGCAACTGGACTCCCCTGCTGTTGAGGGGAGTGGGGTCCCTGGAGGCTGCGGGCTAACTGCTGCCTGTCCTGTGTGCTTTACAGACAAGCTCACCAGTGCCAGCAAGGACTCCCTGAGCACCCACACCAGCCCCAGCCAGTCACCCAGCAGCGTCCAGGGCTCCCGCCGGGGTAGCATCAGCAGCCTGAGCAGTGTGAGCTCCGTCCTGGACGAGAAGGATGATGACCACATCCGCTGCTGCGCGCACTGCAAGGGCACGCTGCTCAAGAGGGAGCAGCAGCTGGACGAGAGGGAGCACAGTCCCGACATTGTGAAGCTCTACGAGGTGATGGCTCCCCGGGTGCTGCCCTGGGTCTGACTTGCGGGGCACTCTTGGCTGTTCAGCAAGTACATGGCTGCAGATTTTGGAGAATGCTTTAGGTTGTCCCTGTAAGTCATTTTTAGTTTCTGTGAAAGGGCCATCATGATTTCCTAGCTAGCGCCCAGGGTGAGTCACAGAGTCATCCTGGGTGTGTTGCAGCAAACTTGTTTCCTCACCCTTCCTCGCCCACTTGAAAGCAGGAGGTTGGAGGCTTTGGCGGCCCAAGGGCTTGGGGAGGAAGAATGGTTGCTGTGCAGTGCGGACAGGTTCTGTGGGTGAGGGCAGAGGCTGGAGCTGGTATAAGGAAACTTAAAACTTGAGTGCTGCCCCTTTAAGTCCATTCAGTTGCCTCAACTCTAGTTACCACCAGCGGTGCCAGAACATCTCTGGTAAGTGCACACTTTGGGAGTCAAAAAACATGGGATTTAGAGTCCTTCTGAATGACACTGGTTTGGCCTCCTAATGCCAGGTGAGACCTGCCAGCTGGGATGATTAGCCAGTGGGGCTGGGGCTGGGGCCGGGAGCTGGTAGGAGATGAGCTCAGCCAGGGCAGAGGAAGCAGCTTGTACAAAACTGAGCAGAGGAAGAGAGTACAGATCTTGGTCTCATGATGGGGTTATGTCCTGATAAACATAATTCCCTGTAAATTGGAAATACTGTAAATTGAAGTGCATTTAATACAGCTAACCTATGGAGCATCACAGCTTAGCCTGGCCTACCTTAAACATGCTCGGGACACGTTGGCAAAAACATCTAACATGAAGCATGTATTACAATAAAGTTGAATATCTCATGTAATTTATTGAGAAACAGAATGGCTATCTGGAGACAGAATGGTTATAAGTATATCAGTTGTTCACCCTCCTGGGAGCTGTGACCTGCCGCTGTCCAGCATCACAAGAGACTGTTATACTGCTTATCACTAGCCAAGAAAAGATCAAAATTCAAAATTGAAAGTACAGTATCTACTCAATATGTTGTTTCCACACTATCGTAAAGTCAAAAAATCATGAGTCAGACCATCCTAAGTTGGGGACTGCATGTATTTTTGTCTGGTGGTGACTGAATTGTCACTGTTAATGGCTCTGCAAGGCATAATGGCTTTGTTTCTAGAATCACTGTGAAAATACTCAGGCTACTAGAAATGGTGTTCAGCCCTGGGCAATGCCTTGTGCTGTTATCTTACACCACCTGGCAGAGAAGGAAAGTAGCAACTAATTCCTTTTCTCTGTAATCGTAAACTCCATTGGCTTGTGTCCTGCAAGGCCTTACTCCTCTCAGAAACATCTGGTCAAAAATTCACCTTCACTTTCCTTCCTGCAAGATTTTTTGCTTGTTAAATAGATCTTTAAATCAGGAAATTGATAAGAACAATAAAAACAAACAAAACCAAACCTCTCTGCATTTTTCCATTTTAGAAAACTGTACACTTTAAGTGCATCTCTGTTGATGCAGCATAACTTCAGGGTAGACTCTCCTGTACTTTGAGAGCACCACTCACCTCTTCATTTTTGTTCTTAGAAATTACAGCTTTGCATGGAGAAAGTTGACCAAAAAGCTCCCGAGTACATCAGGATGGCAGCATCATTAAAGTAAGCTATTTCTCTCTTTTTTTCCAGCAGTGACCGTTCTCTAGCATTTTAGGTCAGTTCTGCAATAGCTGAAAATGCAAATCTTATCTCTGGCCATGCTTTTCTTCTGTGACCAACTGCAGAGATCTTTGTCATGTCTGTATTTCCATGTGACACACGTATAGTCCTATGTAGCCATGTTCCAGTGACCCCAACTGTTCTGATGCAGTGGGTGTGGGAAGGGCCCTGAACAGTAGGCATCCCTGCTGAGTGCAGCAGCTGGAAGAGGGCAAGGACAACTCTGTGCTGATGCCTGCTGGACGCATCACCCAGGGTGGCCTTGAGGTACCGTGGCTTAGAGCAAGCATTTCCCTCCAGGCAGGGATTGGCACACTTTGGTCCACAGGCAAAATTTAGCCTGCCATCTGTTTCCTATCTTAAATTAAGAAAGAATTTGTGCACCATAAAATTCACCCTTTTAAAGAGTACAGTCTGGTGGGTTTTAGTACATTCACAAGGTCGTATAACCATCACCATTGTCCTAACTCAAAGACATTTTCATCATCCTAATAGGAAACCCCTACCCATTAGCAGTAGCAGCTCATTTCTTTTCTCCCTGGCAGCCACTAGTCTACTTTCTGTCTATGGATTTGCCTATTTTGGACATTTCAAATAAATGGAAAAATATATGATAAATATATGTAAAAGATATACTGTCTTTCACACAGTATAATGTTTTCAAGGTTCTCCCCTGCAGTAGTGTGGGTCAGGGCTTCATTCCGTTTGTACTGAGTGCACCGTATGGATAGACCATGTTTTGTTTATCTATTAGTGCATCAGTGAACATGTGGGTTTTTCCAGTTTTGGCTTGCTTCTCTAAATATTCATGTACACATTTTTTGTGGACATGTATTTTTCTCCTGGGTATACACCTAGGAGTGGAGTTCCTGGGCCATATGGTAACTCTGTGTTTAGGTTTTTGAGGAGCTCCCAGACTGTTTTCCAATATGACTGCACCACTTCACATTCCTATCAGCAACATCCGAGGGTTCAGTTTCTTCACATCCTCTACAATCCTTGTTGGTGCAGGTTGTTTTTATGAACGCAGCTTTACAGGAGCACGGCCAGTCCCATGTGTCGGATTACCCTTGTAGCTGCTTTTGCACCACAGCAGCAGATTTGAGTAGTTGTGACAGATACTGTCTGGTCTGCAAAGCTGAAAATATTTCTTATCTGGCTCTTCATGGAAAAAATGTGCTGATGCTTTCTTAAGAGCATCACTCCTGTAGATGAGTGACATGTGAGGTAGAGTTTGAGGTGCTACTCTTAGAATCAGATCCCAGCAATATTTTCCCAACCCGCAAAGAAAAATAAATTATGGTATTGAATGCCCTCGGTTTGAGGATTTTCTGGCTTCATCTTAAGCCTGTGTTGCCCACCTGCCACTTCTCTAGTGATGCACGTGGTATTAGATGTACTTTGTTTAGAACAAGAGTATATTTCCATTTGCACAGGTACTGTGGCCATATTTATATTGTCTTCAAAAAGCAAAGCTTGAGTTTTCCTTCATGATGTCAATGACCATGTTCTAAGTGCATTTTGAGGGTCTCACATGGAAAGAAAATTAATTTGTTGTTTACATGGTCCTTACGGAGTTTCCTGACTTTTGAACCTGTAAATGTCTGACTAACAAAGCATGAATGGCTAACCCTGGTTGGTTTGTGGCAAAAGGCCCCCATCCCCTGCATTTCTCCCTGCCTCTCCTGTCACTTTGGGGCTCTTCTTCCATTGCTTGTTCCCTACCCCGTTGTTTCCCAGCCCACAGGGAGGGGAAAAGAGGTAGGAAGGGAATAGAAAAATGGCAGGAAGACCACTATAGATCCCACTCCCTTTCCTCCGTGTCCTAACAGCTAGATGGTTGGTTGGCCCCTGGGCAGCAGACTGTGAAACGGGAGGGAACACTATTTCTCCAACCTCTCAGCCACACTGTCCTGGCCCCTCCTCCCTTATGTTTGCACCTCTGAGGCCCTAGTCTTCCTCTTCCATTCCAGGAGCACTGGCTCTGAGGACCAGCAGGGAAGGCCATGTTTCTTCTCTACCTGTGGTTCACTGAGCAATAATATTGTCAGTGAGCCTGCTGGCCTCCCTGTGAGCAGGTTGGAGGGAGTAGTACCTAGGTGATACATATGGATATACACCTTCCTGAATGGAGAATCCTTGGCTTGGAGCCCCGTCTCATGCTCTTTTCCTCCCCAGAATTTACACCCCTTCTTCCCAGCCCTGCTCATTTGTTTGCGTTTACAGCAGGACTGCCTTCTCCCTGAACACCAGCCAGCAGAGCTGTATTCCTGGCGATTGGAGCTGGTGCTCAGTGATTTCCTCATGACATTATTACCAAGGGGCTCCTCTCCCTGTATCCTGTTGACTTTGGTTTTGGGTTTTGTGTGTCTGTTTTTTTCTCTGTGCCCCAAACACAACTGTGGGAAAATGGGCCTCTCTTGCCTGCAGGGAAGCTGTCATTGATAAGCATGCTTCCGATGTCCAACTCCTGTTCCTTCGCACAGGCAGATTCTAAAGGGCTTTAAGCACATTTCACCCTCTTATTCATTTGACAGGTGTTTATTGAATGCTAGCTGCATGCCACACATATCCTGGGTGCTGGGGCTGCAGCAGTGAACAGTGTCTCCTCTCATGGAGCTTCACTGTCGTGGGAGCACAGGCCATACATACCTAAGTGAGCACAGAGTGAACTCCAGGAATGATAGGTGAGCTGAGGCAAATACAATTGGTTTGACATGACTGAGACCAGAGGGAGTGATTCAGATTTGGGCTAACCTTGTGATTTTCTATATGACCTGGAGATACCGAGACAAAGCCCAAGAATTCTTAATTCTGGTCTGATGTTCTTTTTGTACCTATGTAGAAAGATGAAACAACTTTATTGAATTTTTTAATTTTAGCTCACGCCAGTGTTTTTCCAGCTAGGACTGTCTTACAGATGGTAAAACAGGGAAGTGCAGCCAGCAGTCCTTTCTGCTTATTTAACTTAAATTGCTGCTCCCTCAGAAAGGTTGCTGAGTGGCTATTGCTGAGGATGGATTAATAGCTGCGATCTTCTGAAATGTTTCTTTTCTCAGTAAACATTGCTTAAGCTTGGCCCATGTGCTAGTTACTGAGGACACAGCAATGAAAAGCCACATTCACTGTGCTTGAGATTGGCCCTCTGGTGGGGTGACAGACCAGTTCTAAGATCCCACAGTAACTGTTGTCATTCCTCCGAGACTGCAGTTAAGCCACCTCTGGCCTTCCCTGGTGTCCCCTGCTCCTCCCTGGGCAGAGTTATTCTCTCCTTTCTTGATTTGGGGTCCAGGCACTTTTCTCGGGTCGGAAGCAGGTGTTTGTGAGACCCAGGAGAACAGGGCAGTTGGCACGATGCCATGCCAGATACTGCTTGCTGCTGGGGATTCCCTGGTCAGCTCTCCCGTTGCTTCTCTTCTCCCTGGGTAGTCTTTGAGTGAGAAAAGCCAAGTGCTTTCCACTCTGATTCTAGTGTAGCCAAGTCGGTTAGTAAACCACTTCATCTTTTTGGATATAGTGAAGTTGTTTGGGGAAGGTAGGCTGACATGGATTCAGTCAAGGTAGGCTGACATGGATTCAGTCACATTTATTTTGGTAATGGTCTTCAGACCTAATCCTCAGAGGCCTGGGTATTATCTGTCCCTGTGATATCTACATATTCAAAGCAGCTTTCAATGGGTTAGTGCTTATATTTTGAAGTGGGATGAACATTGCATTACATACAAGGGTCTGAAATAATAGCACTTGGAGAGAATTAACCTTTATTAAAGGTCTCCCTTTATGAGGCCTCAAACCTTTGGAGTCCTTCTATACTACACTGTCCAGTCAGCTCAGTGGAACTTAGCTCAAACGTCTCCATGATTCCTCCTTAGTGCCGGGGAGACAACCTACAACCTGGAACATGCCAATGACGTGCGGATGGAGGTGCAGAAAGTGTATGAGCTAATAGACGCTTTAAGGTAAGGTCTGTCAGGCGATGTCTTTCCTGTCACCTGGAGTAGAGGAGGTGCTATTTTAATGAATGGTAGGTGGTTATCACACCTGATCTTTCCCAGGGTCCTGGTGACTGGGTATGTGTAAAGAGGGGGCAGAGTAGGTGCCAGCTCTGGCACTCAACATATCTTGGTAACTTTTGGTTAAGGATTTCTAATATTCATTATTATTAAAGGAATAGGAACTGATTACTGACACTAGTTGTGCAGCAGCCACTGGATATTTCCAGAGAATAGCTCATTTGTTCTACCAAAGCTGTGCCATGAGATAGGGATTCACAGCCCCATTTTATAGTTGAGAAAATGAACCACAGCTAGTGAGAGTGGTGGAGTCAGGACAGAAACCCACAATCTTTCTTCAGTTCAGCAGTTGCTTTTTAACCGTGGACTGGCCAGCCAATAGAGTTAAATCAGCCCTTTGAAGTGGAAGAAGTACAGTGATTCAGAGAGAGAACTGGGATGAGGAATCCTGGTCTGTCCATAAATGCAGGACTGACTACATAACCTTGTTGGGCTTGGTGCAAGGTGAAAATGCAGGTCCCTTGTTCAGAATTATTGATATGGAGTGATAGTAGGATATTAAACCAAGCACAGGTCACTGACATGAAGCCAGTCCTGTGCATGTGATCAGTCCCTCAGTGGCTGAGTGTTTGTTATGCACCCTGTTCTACATCAGGGGCCGTGGATACAACCAAAGGGTAAGGGACAGGCTTTGCCTTCAAGGACACCAGTGTAGTTGCTAACCCGACTCTTCCACAAATCTTCCTGGCATGAAAACATGGCCCTTGGAGACTTTGCAGCCTTGTTTCTGGGGCTGGCAGCACCTGTTAATTGATATATTTGTTCCAATTCAGTAAGAAGATCCTAACCTTAGGCTTGAACCAGGACCCTCCTCCACATCCAAACAGCACGCGGCTGCAGAAGATGATCAGATACTCAGCCACACTTTTTGTGCAGGTAAAGCTATATCCTGGGGTAGCAGAAATATCACACTTGCCTTCCCTGCTCTACTACCTCACAGGAGGCACACTGTACTAAAGGCTTGTATATTTTCTGTTTGTACGTTTATTATTTTTAAAAATTGTAAGTGCACTAGGCCAGATAACCTGGGTTTCAAAGAAAAGTAAAAATTGTTAATTCTCTGTCCCCAGTACCATGATGCATCATTCTGGTAGTCTTCCTTTTTTTCTTGATGTGCATGTGTTATATAAAGTAATTATTATTATTGAATATTGTACATTTATGTCTTTCTTTTTATCACTGAATTTCATATCATAAGCACTTTTTTTTACAGAGTCCTCAAATAACTGTCATTTGAATGGCTCCAGTATGCTACTTTATATACACCATCCTTACTTAACCATCCTCTTTCAGCAGGCATTTGTTAGATTCCCATTTTTTGGCTGTTTTGAGTATTGCCTGATGATGCCAACTTGTACATAACATTTCTTCCTTGGGCTAAGCTCCTAAGGGACTCTAACTGGCCATTGGTTGGGAGGAAACAGCCAGTTGTTCAAGGGCAGACTGAAAGTCAGTGGTGAGGTCTGAGTTGTTTCTACTTTAGAAAGCGCCTGTGAGAGCCACAGTTTACCACCTTTGGGGCACCACGGCAGGGAGAGCTAGGCGTTAGCTTTCCGACACTGTCCTGCAGAGAATTAGACCCTTTCTCCTTTTGATTAATGACTCTATTCAGTGCTCACTTTGGGAGTACCTTCTAGGTACCAGGCAGTCCTCTAGGCACTGGGTATTCTGCCGTGAGCAGAAAGACAAACATTCCTTTTCTCATAAAGTTTATACTCTAGAGATGGGGGACAGACAAGAACCAACTGAAATATATAACTTATAAGATGGTGAGAACTTGTGAATGGAGGCTTACAAATTTAGATGGGTGGTGGGGGGAAGCTTCATTGAGAAGGTGACTAACTGGGATATCTAGTGTTGATCATTACATAAGGAAAAGGCAGCCCATCTGGAAGCTGACTCTCTGGCCTGATGTAAAGTTAGGTCCTTTCTTGCTGTTAATGTGAGTCACCGAGGGGGGGTGGAGTGGCTTAGCTTGGGTGGACCCTCACCATATAGGGCTTAGGGTTCATTTTTCTCCTAAAAGGATTTAGGTGTAAAATTGTGACTCCCTACAGGAAAAGCTGCTTGGTTTGATGTCACTGCCAACTAAAGAACAGTTTGAGGAACTGAAAAAGAAAAGGAAGCAGGAAATGGAGAGGAAGAGGATCCTGGAGAGACAGGTGGGTGAAGTGGGGACGCTAGGGGCTGGCTTCCTCCCTGCGGTTTCCTCCCCCCAGACACCAGGGGGTCCTGGGAGGCCGTGGTAAATCAGAACCTCCCACGCCATCCAGTTTGCATTTGTCTTCAGTTCTGTTCTGACCTCATTTTAATCTGTAGACACCAAAGAGGTATTTGTTTTCTCCCAGGTCTATTTTTCTTTCAGAGGTTTTATCATAGAGACTGGCACTTTTCCCTCTAGTACAGGTTGCAGAGAATCCAGACACCAGGGAGTTGTTCATAGAACACTTTGGAATATGCAGTATTAAATAGAAAATAATGTGTATTCCCTGCTGTGTTGTGAGATTCTGGTGTAGTTGAGTTGTACTAGACCTCAGAGGTTTAAGACAAGTGAATGGCCAGTGAATCTAAAATTGAGAAAATCTTAGCCCTTTACTTACTATTACTCATTATTTTTGAAGATGATGAAAAGTCTGCCCCTCCTCTCCCACTAGGAAAAAAATCATGATTTGGCTTTCAGTCCGGAGCGGGACGATGGGAGTTTCCCCAGCAGGGGGCGTGGCGGGTGTTGTGGCCACCGTGGCCGCCACCGCCGGCCTGGTGAGTTTGCTCTGTTTGGCTTTGGTGTCTCCCCAGGCTGCCCTGGAGGCCCAGCGAAGGCTCGAGGAAAGGCGGAGCCACACGGCCCCGCGGGCGGCCAACGGGGAGGTGGCGGCCCTTCGTGGGGGCCCTGGCCCCGTGAGGAAGGCCGAGGGCTGGCTCCCGCTTTCGGGAGGGCAGGGGCAGAGCGAAGACTCGGATCCCCTGCTGCAGCAGATCCGCAACATCACGTCGTTCATCAGGCAGGCCCGGGCGGCCGGCCGCACAGATGAGGTGCGCACCCTGCAGGAGAACCTGCGGCAGCTGCAGGACGAGTATGACCAGCAGCAGACGGAGAAGGCCTTGGAGCTGTCCCGGAGGCAGGCCGAGGAGGAGGCCCTGCAGCAGGAACAGCTGCAGATGCTGTGTGAACGCGAGTGGGAACGGGAGAGGGAGCAGTTCCGGGCGGCGTCCCTGCACACGCGGACGCGGTCCCTGGACTTCCGAGAGGTGCGGCCTTTTCAGCTGGAGCCCGGCCGAGAGCCCCGCTCCCACCCTGCCCATGCTGCGGGTCTCAGCTCTTCGCCAGATTGGAGCAGCGCGGCTCCCGAGATGCCTTCCCCCAGCACAGCCCTGGAGCCCGTGCCATTGTGGTCTGGGCCCCCGGCCCCTGGCCAGGACTCCCTGCCCCCAGGCCCTGGCTCACAGCAGAATGCCGTGCCCTCCTTCAACCCCTTTGAGGAGGAAGCACCCCCCAGCCCCCCTGCCGCAGAGCCTGCCTGCCGCCCTTCTGCCCGCGCCCTCAGAGAGTACAATCCTTTCGAGGAGGCGGAGGCGGCCGTGGCTGTGGCAGGGAACCCTTTCGCTAGCCCGGGCAGCCCGGCACCCAACCCCTTCGACGAGGACGATGAGCAGCCTCACCAGAGGCCCGCAAGCCCCCCGGTTCCTGGCAACCCCTTCGAGGATGCCCCCTGCACCAACCCCTTCGAGACGGACAGTGACGCAGTGCCAGAGGCCGAGGGGCCCATCGAGGAGGAGCTCCTCCTGCAGCAGATCGACAACATCAAGGCGTACATCTTTGATGCGAAGCAGTGCGGCCGCCTGGACGAGGTGGAGGTGCTGACGGAGAACCTGAGGGAGCTGAAGCGCGCTCTGGCCAAGCAGCAGGGCGCTGACTGAGGGCGGGCGGCCTGCGGGCTGCGGCAGGAGGCAGGGCTGGGCAGGTGGATGAGTTGGCCCTGACCCGGCAGGGAGCCGCAGTGGTGCGCACACTCCAGGGTTTCCCACTATAGCTGAATATTTCAATGGTAACGAGAACAGGGAGCACCAGCATTTATTTGCCGTTCTTCCTGTTTGTTTTTTTAAATTGGGTTTTCCCTTTGGAAAGGACTTGAAATTTTCACTACAGTGATAAAACTAAATGCAGTTCTCAAACGACTGCCACCCCCTTAAGGGTGCGTTGGCTCCTGCCTAGTGCTTGGCCATTATGCAGTATTATGGGGCAGCCTTAGAAAGTGCCCTTCCTTTCACCAAGACAGACAAGATGGGGTCCTTTCAGCCTTACCCTGCTCTGGCAGTCTGTCCCAGACTTCTATGGGTTCCTTTCCCCTGGGGCCTTCTCCACCCTGTGTGGCACGTTCCACCCTATGCAGCCATCGGGGAGGTAAGAAGTTTAGACCTAGGAGAGCCCAGCACCTCTTTTAAAGAGAGGGTGACGGGGGTGAGGTTTCACCAGTCTGTTTCCCCCTCAGCTTAAGTCCTTGTTTTTCTCTTTCAGGAAGTTGAACTCCCAGTGCAGGTGTATCACTGTGAGTCTGATCATGAGCTTTTTAGAAAAAAGGAGTGGCTGACTGGTTGAGGGGGTAGCATTATTTGGGGTACATCTACCCAGATGGCACTCTGTTGGAAACAAACAACCGATGGAGTGATTGTCTCTGGAGAAACCTCCCTCTAGAGCTTTGTCAAAATTATTCTGACCTGGGCTTTTTCAGAGAGCCTAGTCTATCATTTAGGAATTGGTGATCAGGAGTCAGGAGAGTGGAAACTTCCCTCAGTCAGAAGATAATTTACAAAACTAATTGATCAGCTTCCTTCCCTGTTGGTTCATCCTGTCCTAACCTGGGACACTGGTGAGATATTTTCTTACCAATGTTTAGTACCAAGAAAGGGAAATGTCTGAAGAGGCACAATGCAGGATCGTTCTGATAGTGTCTCAGTCCTTGAACTCTTCACCAGTTAAGGGCATAAAGGGAAATTGTTAATTTAGCTCTGGTGCTTTGGTTTACAGAAACATAACCCTTAACTGACTTTGACATCATGACACCCAAGTGTGCTCAGCTCTAGGTAGAGTCCCTACAGCTACACTTGTTGATTAATGAACAATACCTGGCCACTAGTCACTTTATACCCCTTACGCAACGTGGGGGGTCACACCCACACTGGTTACTGGTCTGAGAGCTGAAATTCATTTTGTTACATTCTGGGAAGAACCCTGTTGATCCTGGGAATGTCAGAAAAACATTGTAGTGTTGAAGTAATCTGTATTTGTGTTGACACTATTTACATTTGCTTAGCACCTGTCAGATCTTTGGGCTGACTGATAAGGTCCTGTATTGGGGTGTGGGGATGGGGAGTGGGTGGAGGCTTTGTGGAGGACCATTGGCATTGGGGTTCTGTTTCACAAAGGATGAGTGGGTTCCCGTGTCAGGCAGTTACCAATCCTGCTGATTGTCACGGAGGTTTTAAAAGGTTGTCAGCTCAATGCCTAAAATGTTGCCTGGTCCCGGCCCCTCTTCTTCCTTGAGGCCCATGCCCTTTGTGCTGTTATTACCCAGGAGGGTTTCATGGCTGGCTGGCATGCCACCCCCTGCCCAGCCTGTCTTTTCTCTCTGACTAAAGAGGAAGGCATTCCCTGCACCAAAAAGCAGGTTGTTCCAGAAGCTAAATGCTGCTGTCCATCATAAGTACTTTTCTTATGAGAGTATCTATCTTAATTAGCTCGTGATTTGGAGACTGGTTTACTTAACATCCTCTTTCTCTAAAATCAACCCCAGGTAGCAATCTGTAAGTAACTGAGAGCATTAAGAACCACACATATAAGAAACATTTTTTAAAACTTAAAAAAAATCACTAAATATACTAACCCAAATTGAAACCCTCTGATGTGATTGAACGCTTCTGTGGGTGTAGTCTTCCATGAACTCTTCCATTTAGAGACTGGCACTTTTCCCTCTAGTACAGGTTGCAGAGAATCCAGACACCAGGGAGTTGTTCATAGAACACTTTGGAATATGCAGTATTAAATAGAAAATAATGTGTATTCCCTGCTGTGTTGTGAGATTCTGGTGTAGTTGAGTTGTACTAGACCTCAGAGGTTTAAGACAAGTGAATGGCCAGTGAATCTAAAATTGAGAAAATCTTAGCCCTTTACTTACTATTACTCATTATTTTTGAAGATGATGAAAAGTCTGCCCCTCCTCTCCCACTAGGAAAAAAATCATGATTTGGCTTTCAGTCCGGAGCGGGACGATGGGAGTTTCCCCAGCAGGGGGCGTGGCGGGTGTTGTGGCCACCGTGGCCGCCACCGCCGGCCTGGTGAGTTTGCTCTGTTTGGCTTTGGTGTCTCCCCAGGCTGCCCTGGAGGCCCAGCGAAGGCTCGAGGAAAGGCGGAGCCACACGGCCCCGCGGGCGGCCAACGGGGAGGTGGCGGCCCTTCGTGGGGGCCCTGGCCCCGTGAGGAAGGCCGAGGGCTGGCTCCCGCTTTCGGGAGGGCAGGGGCAGAGCGAAGACTCGGATCCCCTGCTGCAGCAGATCCGCAACATCACGTCGTTCATCAGGCAGGCCCGGGCGGCCGGCCGCACAGATGAGGTGCGCACCCTGCAGGAGAACCTGCGGCAGCTGCAGGACGAGTATGACCAGCAGCAGACGGAGAAGGCCTTGGAGCTGTCCCGGAGGCAGGCCGAGGAGGAGGCCCTGCAGCAGGAACAGCTGCAGATGCTGTGTGAACGCGAGTGGGAACGGGAGAGGGAGCAGTTCCGGGCGGCGTCCCTGCACACGCGGACGCGGTCCCTGGACTTCCGAGAGGTGCGGCCTTTTCAGCTGGAGCCCGGCCGAGAGCCCCGCTCCCACCCTGCCCATGCTGCGGGTCTCAGCTCTTCGCCAGATTGGAGCAGCGCGGCTCCCGAGATGCCTTCCCCCAGCACAGCCCTGGAGCCCGTGCCATTGTGGTCTGGGCCCCCGGCCCCTGGCCAGGACTCCCTGCCCCCAGGCCCTGGCTCACAGCAGAATGCCGTGCCCTCCTTCAACCCCTTTGAGGAGGAAGCACCCCCCAGCCCCCCTGCCGCAGAGCCTGCCTGCCGCCCTTCTGCCCGCGCCCTCAGAGAGTACAATCCTTTCGAGGAGGCGGAGGCGGCCGTGGCTGTGGCAGGGAACCCTTTCGCTAGCCCGGGCAGCCCGGCACCCAACCCCTTCGACGAGGACGATGAGCAGCCTCACCAGAGGCCCGCAAGCCCCCCGGTTCCTGGCAACCCCTTCGAGGATGCCCCCTGCACCAACCCCTTCGAGACGGACAGTGACGCAGTGCCAGAGGCCGAGGGGCCCATCGAGGAGGAGCTCCTCCTGCAGCAGATCGACAACATCAAGGCGTACATCTTTGATGCGAAGCAGTGCGGCCGCCTGGACGAGGTGGAGGTGCTGACGGAGAACCTGAGGGAGCTGAAGCGCGCTCTGGCCAAGCAGCAGGGCGCTGACTGAGGGCGGGCGGCCTGCGGGCTGCGGCAGGAGGCAGGGCTGGGCAGGTGGATGAGTTGGCCCTGACCCGGCAGGGAGCCGCAGTGGTGCGCACACTCCAGGGTTTCCCACTATAGCTGAATATTTCAATGGTAACGAGAACAGGGAGCACCAGCATTTATTTGCCGTTCTTCCTGTTTGTTTTTTTAAATTGGGTTTTCCCTTTGGAAAGGACTTGAAATTTTCACTACAGTGATAAAACTAAATGCAGTTCTCAAACGACTGCCACCCCCTTAAGGGTGCGTTGGCTCCTGCCTAGTGCTTGGCCATTATGCAGTATTATGGGGCAGCCTTAGAAAGTGCCCTTCCTTTCACCAAGACAGACAAGATGGGGTCCTTTCAGCCTTACCCTGCTCTGGCAGTCTGTCCCAGACTTCTATGGGTTCCTTTCCCCTGGGGCCTTCTCCACCCTGTGTGGCACGTTCCACCCTATGCAGCCATCGGGGAGGTAAGAAGTTTAGACCTAGGAGAGCCCAGCACCTCTTTTAAAGAGAGGGTGACGGGGGTGAGGTTTCACCAGTCTGTTTCCCCCTCAGCTTAAGTCCTTGTTTTTCTCTTTCAGGAAGTTGAACTCCCAGTGCAGGTGTATCACTGTGAGTCTGATCATGAGCTTTTTAGAAAAAAGGAGTGGCTGACTGGTTGAGGGGGTAGCATTATTTGGGGTACATCTACCCAGATGGCACTCTGTTGGAAACAAACAACCGATGGAGTGATTGTCTCTGGAGAAACCTCCCTCTAGAGCTTTGTCAAAATTATTCTGACCTGGGCTTTTTCAGAGAGCCTAGTCTATCATTTAGGAATTGGTGATCAGGAGTCAGGAGAGTGGAAACTTCCCTCAGTCAGAAGATAATTTACAAAACTAATTGATCAGCTTCCTTCCCTGTTGGTTCATCCTGTCCTAACCTGGGACACTGGTGAGATATTTTCTTACCAATGTTTAGTACCAAGAAAGGGAAATGTCTGAAGAGGCACAATGCAGGATCGTTCTGATAGTGTCTCAGTCCTTGAACTCTTCACCAGTTAAGGGCATAAAGGGAAATTGTTAATTTAGCTCTGGTGCTTTGGTTTACAGAAACATAACCCTTAACTGACTTTGACATCATGACACCCAAGTGTGCTCAGCTCTAGGTAGAGTCCCTACAGCTACACTTGTTGATTAATGAACAATACCTGGCCACTAGTCACTTTATACCCCTTACGCAACGTGGGGGGTCACACCCACACTGGTTACTGGTCTGAGAGCTGAAATTCATTTTGTTACATTCTGGGAAGAACCCTGTTGATCCTGGGAATGTCAGAAAAACATTGTAGTGTTGAAGTAATCTGTATTTGTGTTGACACTATTTACATTTGCTTAGCACCTGTCAGATCTTTGGGCTGACTGATAAGGTCCTGTATTGGGGTGTGGGGATGGGGAGTGGGTGGAGGCTTTGTGGAGGACCATTGGCATTGGGGTTCTGTTTCACAAAGGATGAGTGGGTTCCCGTGTCAGGCAGTTACCAATCCTGCTGATTGTCACGGAGGTTTTAAAAGGTTGTCAGCTCAATGCCTAAAATGTTGCCTGGTCCCGGCCCCTCTTCTTCCTTGAGGCCCATGCCCTTTGTGCTGTTATTACCCAGGAGGGTTTCATGGCTGGCTGGCATGCCACCCCCTGCCCAGCCTGTCTTTTCTCTCTGACTAAAGAGGAAGGCATTCCCTGCACCAAAAAGCAGGTTGTTCCAGAAGCTAAATGCTGCTGTCCATCATAAGTACTTTTCTTATGAGAGTATCTATCTTAATTAGCTCGTGATTTGGAGACTGGTTTACTTAACATCCTCTTTCTCTAAAATCAACCCCAGGTAGCAATCTGTAAGTAACTGAGAGCATTAAGAACCACACATATAAGAAACATTTTTTAAAACTTAAAAAAAATCACTAAATATACTAACCCAAATTGAAACCCTCTGATGTGATTGAACGCTTCTGTGGGTGTAGTCTTCCATGAACTCTTCCATGGCTATATTCTATAATTGTACACATGACAGGCGGTAGGATTCTCTAACCTCCACAATACCATTTCCTGGAATTCACCCAGGCACAAAGCTGGATCACAGAGATAGGTTAACGTCAGGTAAAAGATGGCCCATGAATTGCAACAATGTCAAGTTCTTACCTCATGTGAATATCTCACCCTTCCTGCAGTCCTTCAAGGCACACAGCTTCGTCTCACCAGAAAATGAGCAAGTTCTTTATCTGGCCCTGGCAGATCTCCCTCCACATAGATCATGTGAGGAAGAGACCTTGGGGATTCAGGTACCAAATGAAGTTGGCTTTTCCTTTGTATGTCTTGGTTGTATTTTCCCTGTCTAATACACTAAGGATACCTATTCATTTTGCTTGCAGCTCATGATGTCTTTGCTGTTCCAATGCTAAAATGTACCTCTTGAGTCACTGGGAACCATGTGGTGGGTTGGACATTGGCGTAGTTAGGTGATGGGACTCAACGTAAGAACGTAAGAACTGGTCTCTTAATAGGTCATGGACTGTGATAGCAGATTGTGCATGTAATCAGACAGTGACGGACAGTTTGAAGGTCACTGGTTTGCATGTACTGCTCTGGGGCCTTGTAATGGAACCTTTTTTTAAAACATATTAGTGGTTGTGTGTACACACATGCTGCAAGAGTGGATCACCAGATAACATCCCCATACCCCTTCCTTAATGACCCTCTGAGTATCAGAAGAAAGCCCCAGCTCCTGGGTTACTTGTGTGGTTAAGGCCTCTGGATAAAAGGTCCCTGGGCTCTTTACGGGATAAATGGGGTTCCAGTTCTGCCTGTATCCCTTGTTATTCCTGCAGATGGATTAAAGGAACTGTTTCACTCTAGTGCAAAAACCCTTTACAATCCACCATCCCATTACACACTGGAAGAAACAGGCTCAGAGAAGTTGAGGAACCTTACGGCTGCCATTTGTGCCAGACACTGTGCTGTATTTTCACACTTCCCTCACTTTGCTCTACCAGCAGGCCTATGGGGTAGGAACTCTGCCATATTCATCTGGCAGATGAAGAAACAGGTTGAGAAAGGTTAGCCTGGTTGGGGTCACACGCCAGTGCTGGAATGAGGATCTAAGGCCTTGTCTGCCTGACTCTGCCCTAAGTAGCAAGGATGGCTCAATCTGATCAGGTGTGGTGGGAGCGCTCAAGCATGTGTCTGGCGCTGTCATAGCAGAAACTGGCAGTGGGCAAAGATGTCGGGAGTTGCTAAGTGGGTTTTTGATACTGATGTCATTCGGGCCTTTGAAACAGCCCTCCCCAGGACCTCTGTAGATTACTAAACCAAGAGGGGATGATATTTAGTGCTCACTGTGAGCAGGAGAGAACGCTAAGTATTGTGCATGGATTACCTCATTTAATCCTCCCAGCAACCCAGTGTACAGGTGAAGAAATGAGTGTGAGGTTAAGCTTGCCTGGGGCTCTTCAGCCCAGGAACTGTCTGACTCTAAAACCCAAGCTTCCCTGGCCTGCTTCATATATGGACACTCACATTTCGGTTGTGGGATGGTGTATTTCATCCCTAAGAAACACCTTATGTGGACTTGAAAATCAAAAGCTTTTCTGCCTAAAACTTTTCAGTAGCCAGGTGCAGTTTTAAGAGTATCTCAGAAAGGACTTTTGGTTTCCGCTCAGGCATGCAAAGAGTTTAGAAGTTGTCACTCTTGTCCTACAACAGTTAAAAACTAGACAGAAAAAAACAAACAATGACTTTTCTTGGATCCGTCAGACAACCAAGTTTGCAGGGCAAACTGTAGCCTCAAAATCCGGAGAGAGAGGTGAATCCAGTCACCACTGACAGCTGCTTAACATGGAGCAGGAGCCACTCAGCCATGGCTGGTAGGAACACTTTTGATGAACTAGTGGAGGCTGAGTGTGGTCCAGCATGGGAGTGAGAAAGTCCTGGAGACCACAGCCTGCGGGACACCCCACACTTTCATGGGTATTGCCTCCAGGAACCTCACCTGGTTTTCACAGTGGATTGCTGAGAAAGATCCCTTGGTGCCTCTGGCAGGGGATGGGGAAGAGTATTCTTTGTAAAATAAACTTGGAGCATTCCCAAGGGGCAAACGGCTTACCTGCCTTACCAGTGGCTAATCCCACCTAGGGAAGGCCCTTCTTTCACCCAAGTCCCTTATAGGCTTCCTGTCTCATCTAAATGGAAGGAAGGTGTGATATAATGGGTTATAAAAAATATATATTTGGTCATTCATGTGACCAAGTATGTCTTTTCCAGGTATATTTTGTCTTCAAAGTTCCTGAAAACACTGCAGTCTTAAAGGTGGAACAGGTGTTTTGTCATGTTAATGAGAGACTTTTGGACCCCCCAGGCAAGGGCAGGGGCTGGAGGTTGGATTGGCCAATGGCCAGTAATTTAGTCAGGACTATGTAGTGAAGCCCTCACAAAACCCATGAGAAGAGCTCTCTCACTCTCTGCTCTGTGGGATTCTGCTCCTTGGTCGGAGAGAGCTCCTATGCTTGGGGAGCCAGAACATCTCCACATGCCACTGAGCCAGGCCCCAAGCTCCGTGAGGATAGACGCTCCTTCCTTTGGGACTTTGCCCTTTGTCTCTCTTCACCTGGCTGTTAACTTGTATCCTTCACAGTATCCTTCATTAAACTGGTAAACATGTTTTCCTGAGTTCTGTGAGCTGCTATAGCAAATTAATCGAACCTAAGGGGGAGGTTGAGGGTACCTCCAATCTGTAGCTGGTAGGTCAGAAGTATACGGAACTGCCTGGGGCTTGCAACCGGCATCTGGAGTGGGGGATGGCGGATGGAGTCTTGTAGGATGGAGCCCTTAACCTGGGAGTCTGGTGCTGTCTCTGGGCAAATAGCCTCAGAATTGAGTTGAGTTCTCCAGCACCCCGCTGGTGTTCGAGAATTGCTTGGTGTAAGTATGTGTGGGAAGACCCTCTCCCGTATATTTACACACATTGGAATCGGGTCCAGGTATCCAAATGGAGTTATATTATTACCATTACCATTACTGCTTTGTATGATATTGTTATTGTTATACATATATGTAGGGAAAAATACACCATCGCATTTGGTGTTGGACGAGTGGGAATCACATTTGGTGTAAGACATGTGACAAAAGGTAAACAAAAGCTCATTTTTCCATATACTCCACTACCCACACCCTTCTGACACTAAATATGTGGATTTTTTCTCACACTGATCAATTCTTTGACAGTGCGTGTCCCAGTTTAACTTAATTCTGACACCAGTTACCTGGAATTTATGTCAGAGCCCACAGGTTAAGAGCTCAGTCCCACAAGACTGTCCCCTCACTTCAGATGACAATTACAAATGCAGGACTCTGGTACTTGTAACCAACTGGCTATCAGTTAGGGTCCCCACGACCCTTCCTTGGCTCAATAATTTGCTATTACAGCTCACAGAACTCAGGAAAACAGCATACTTACTAGGTTATTGGTTTATTATAAAAGAATACAATGTAGGAAGAGTCAGATGGGAGACATTCATAGGGTGAGGTATGGGGGAAGTGTGTAGAGCTCCGTGCCCTCTAGGGGCACATCACTCTCCCAGCACCATCACTGATGTGTTCAACCTAGAAGCTCTCCCAGCCACTTTGGTTACGGGCATGTTTATGGATACTTCATCATGTGATCATGATGCAACACCTAGACATCATTGCTATTAGTGGTTAACTCAGCCTCCAGCCCCTCTCTCCTCCTTGGAGGTCAGAGGTTGAGAGGGTAGGGTTGAAATTCAACCCTCTAATCACATGGTTCTCCTGGCAAACAGCCCCCCATCCCTAGGGGGTTTCCAAAAGTCCACTTTGTCATTTTGGAAACTCTGGTGTGGTTGAAAGGGGCTTGTTATGAATATAAAAGATGCTCCTTTTACCTGTATCCCTCCAGAGCTATGTCGGGAATGGGGACCAAACCCAAATATTATGACAAGATGCTCCTATGATTAAGGAAATTAACAATGGTTTTAGGAGTTCTGGTCTGGAGCCAGGAACAAAGACTAAATATTCTGGTCTGGAGCCAGGAACAAAGACTAAATATTTATTTATTATTATATCACAGAGGAGGAATTAACAAGCACTTATGAAGGCCATAGACCAAGAACTAAGGCCTGAAATATTGAGGTTGCATCATAAGATATAGAAGTTTCCCTTCCCCACATGGTACCACCACACCAACAGGGCTGCAGTGTAACTGTGGATCACAGCTGAGAGAACTTCAAGACACAGGCTTTCTGAGGAGGAATGTCTAGGGAAGCCCACAGTCAGGAGGAGAGGAAAAAACAAAGACAATAGAGAAATTTGAACCCTTTGCCAGCTACAGCAAACATCAAACACAGCTCAGCTGCTAGCCAGAGCAACATAAATCCTCATGCTAGAAGCTTGTTAACCTCAGTTCCTGTTATTTAATATAGCTGATACTGTCTGACCTTCAATAAAAAATTACTAGCATGCTAAAGTAAAAAGCAAGAAAAAAAACAGGCTGATGTGTCTTATGCAACAAGCATCAGAACCAGATGCAGATATGACATAGATGTTGGAGTTATCAGGATATTTGAAATAAGTGATCAATATGTTAGGGAGTCCAATGGTAAAAGAAAATAAAATGCGAGCCCGGATGGGTAACATAAGCAGAGATAAGGAACTCTAAGAAATAGTCAAAAGGAAATGCTAGAAATCAAAACCACTGTAACAGAAATGAAGAATGCCTTTGATGGGCTCATCAGTAGACTAAACACAGTCAAGGAAATAATCATAAGCTTGAAGATAGATCTGAAGAAATATCCCTAACTAAAATGCAAAGGGAAAACAACATGGAAGGAGTGGGGAAATAAAACATTCAAGAACTATGGGACAATTTCAAAAGATGTAAAATATACGTAATTAGAATGCCAGAAGGAGAAAAAGGAGAGAGTTTATAAGAAATATTTGAAATAATAATGACTGAGAACTTCCCAAAATTAATGACAATCACCAAAACTCAGATCCAGGAGCTCAGCCTAAAATAAATATCAAGTAGGGGAAATAGAAAAAATATACACCAAGACATATCTTATTCAAACTATAAACCAAAGACAAAATCTTGAAAGGAGCCAGAAAAAAAGAAAATATCTTACCTATAGAGAAACAAAGTTTACAGCTGACGACTCCTCAGAAACCATATAAGAGTGAACTATTTGAAGTGCTGAAAGAAAACCCCAACCTAAAATTCTGTATATGAAGAAATTATCCTTCAGAAGTAAAGCAGAGATAAAAACTTTCTCAGATCAATAAGTTGTTAACCTTAAAAATGAAATTGTCAGGATTTGTTTTGTTTAACCAGCAAAAATGGATTTATTCAGAAACAGCAGAGAATTGCAATTCAGTATGTGCAAGCTATGTAAAATCAAGCGAAGTCCAACAAAAAAAGGAAAGTTATAAAGGAAAATGGGGAGGCTGTGAGGGGTTGTTCTTAAGGAAGTCCATTTTGTGTAAAAGGAAACAAACACTCAAAGGAAGTGTGTTCAGGGTGGTGGCCTCTCCTGGGCTGAGCTGCAGGAATAGGCAATTTCTTGTAGGCGATGCAATGCCCATCTTCCCCTGCTGGGGTCTGTCATTGATGATTCCTTCCTGTTGAGGATTCTTCTGTGGGGTCTGTAATAAACTTTCCCCTTCTCTCCCGATGCCACGTTAGTGAGGTTTCCCTTTCTCAATTTTCACAGCCTACTTCAGAAATGCATTTCATATCCACCCATTGCTAACGAAGAATTGTGGTCAGAGCTGTTAAGTGGCTGAACCAGTCAAGGGGTAGATCCCAAACTTCTTTTCCTTTCGCAAATCAGATTTTGTAGTCAGTGTTAAAAATTTCAACTGTAAGGATCAAATGAGATAATGCACAAACCTTAGAACCGCGCTGCGCTTATGAAGACCAAGTGGAAGCAGCTGTTACTTCTGTCACCGCATCCCCGTACCGGGCGCACCCTCCCGGTCTGAAACACTGAGGAGCGACTCGGCACAACCTGCCCGGTGCAGTTCACACCCTTCATTTTAAAATGAGAAGTCAAGAGAGAAAAACGGAGTTATTTGAAATTGAATGGCAAGTTATTGGCCGACTTGATATCTGAATTCACTTCTGAATTCACTTCTGATGTAATTCCTACTATAATTTTGTAGTTTGAATGATTGAGCTTGAGCCTATTTAAAATATTTTCCCGTGGGTAGGCGAGGAGGGTAAGGAGAGTAAGCCCAAGGTAAGTCGCCTGAAAACCTAAACTTTCCAGGAGGGTGCTCTACAGCCAAGCAGACGAGCCCGTGCACCGCCCCGCTCCCACGGAAGACGCGGTTAACAAGGACTGCAATTTCCAAGCTGCCCCGCGGCGCGCGCTGGCCGCCGGGAGGGTCTCCTGTGAGTCTGCGCAGGAAGTGGAAACCAGCGCGGAGTGGACCCGGCGTGAGGACAGCAGGGCGGCGGCGTGTACTGCCGTGGGTTTTGCCCGCTCCGCTGGCTCGCGGCCGGTCTCCGCCGCCGCCATGCCTATGAAGGGCCGCTTCCCGATCCGCCGCACCCTGCAGTACCTGGGCCAGGGGGACGTGGTGTTCAAGGACGTGGTGAAGGTCATGACGGTGAACTATAACACGCACGGGAAGCTGGGTGAGGGCGCCAGGTCAGTCCGAGCCCTGTGGGGCTTCCCCCACAGACCTGCCCTGATCGCCGTAAGAAGGCGCTGGTGACTTTGACGCCTGGAGCTGCGCCAGGCGTCACTTAATCCTGGGGCAGGCCCCCACAGGTGGGTGCCAGTGCCCCCATTTTACAAACGAGGAGGCCGAGAAGCAGCTTGTTCCAGGTTCCTGCTGAGAAGAGGGCAGCCGTGCCGGCCGCAGTCGTGACGCGGGGAGCGGAGCACACCTTCCCCTCCCGGTGGGGGACGAGGCCAGCCCAGAGAGGCCGCAGCCTCCGAACCGCCTGTGCGGGGCGGGCTGAGGCCGAGTCGCCCCTCCTCGTTCCTGACGGGGAGGGTCCGGTCCTGGGGCCGGTACGGGGATGCGGTGACAGAAGTAACAGCTGCTTCCACTTAGTGAGTTTATAAGCGCAGCGCGGCGCAGAGGCTTGTGCATTATCTCATTTGATCTTCGCAGAAACCCGGTGGTTATCCCCCCACCCACATATGTTGAGTGCTTTGCTTGTCCAGGGTACCATGCCAGCTAGTGAGTGTGGTTCTGAAAGGGCTTCTCTCCTGCAGATCAGCACCCTTGTAAATTAGTGGAAACACCGGGATGTTTTTCGGCCTGGGCCAGAGTAGGGCCTGGTTGAAGGGAAGCTTGCAAGTGAAAGGTTTGGATTGAACCTTGAGATACCAGCAGTGGTTTGGGCTTTTCAGGTATTGAGTATAAATTTGCTGAGGGCGTCTTGAATGCTGGGTCCCCGTGTTCTGTGTCGGGAATTCAGCAGTGACTAAGAAGGACCTTATCCTTAGGAAACTTTGGGATTGGGGGTGTGGAGTAGATCAAAATGGAGAGAGAGCAGCTCCCAGTTCGGTGGCCCCCTTGGTGAGCAGCTTTGACCACCCCGCTGTTTGCTTTCCATAGGTGAACCTGACAACTTGGACCTGCTTGCACTGGGTCAGATGGGGTGAGGGCTTCTTAGAAGACTTGATCTTGGGGTGATTGGTGACCCAGAGCCTCCTTCATACCATGCATACCAGCAGTCACAGGGCAGAGGCCAGGCAGTTTGGGAGAGGAGAGAGCAAAGCTGGGGGACCTGTGTGGAGATCCTGCTGTGTCCCAAGCAGCCATTCACCACTTGGCTACATCTTAGCCGTGTGGGCTCCTTGACGACTTTCTGACTTCTCAAGAAGCCAGGAATTCAGATGTATGTGTAAATCTCTGGTTTTTTAATGGTTAATCAAAATAAGCCTGCAGGCCTCGTACTGGCATTTTCATAGCCTGTAAGCCAAACAGCCACCTGTGCTTCATTATTCCTAATTGTCAGGGGTAGCCTGTCACACCTGTGCCCTTTGGGATTGGCTGGCCTTAGGCTTCCTGACTTGCTCTTTCTAGCCCCACTTCACTTGTAGGTGTGCCCTCAGCATTTCAGCTGTCCTGACCCGGACTACTTTCCTCCATCCCAAGTGCCAGCGGCCAGTACCACAGCCCCGGGCTAGCCATAGTCTTGGGGTGTCTGCTGGGCATGTGGGGAGCTGCCCTTTTCAGGGTCCGAGGCCTGAGTCCTTGCTCACCTCTGCCATGTGTTCTTGCCTGTGAGATGCAATAAAAGCAGCAGCTGGCATTTATGAGCGTCGTCTGCATCCAGCCCTGAGCTTAGGGTGGGGGTGGATTGGATAATCAGGTACATACTGAATAGCATGGTGCAGGCCAGACCTTACAGCCAGGATCTTTCACATAACTGGTTGTGTCACCTGGGTGGGTTACTTAACTTTCCTGGCCTGTTTCCTTAGTTGTAAAACCCCACCTTCCAGGGTCACTGAGGATTCTAGTATAAAGTGTCTAGCAAGGGGCCTGGCATATATAGCAGGTACGTGACTAAAGGTTACCTACAGTTACTAGCTTTCCTCCCATGCTTCAGCAAGAACCATTTAAAAATCCCTGTTGATTTTTATCCCAGTAGTTGTTGGTGTGAGGAATGCCCATGTGGCTATGCCCCATTGGATTTATATGAAGTTCTGTCACATTGGCTTACTCTGCGCTGTGTGCGTGTGTGTGTGTTTTAGTGGGTGGGGGGTATTGAGCAGAGACATCCTAGGCCCAGGAAGGTAAATCCAGCTTTTGGGCTTCCAGTCCTGTGCGCTCTCTGGTCTGCAGGCCCTAATCTCCATTGCGCCCCCCTGGCAGCAACAACTTTCAACTCTGATGACCGTTTTAATTAGGGTTTGCCCTCCATGTAGTTAAATGCCATACTTTGGGACCTACTTCTCACTGTTGTGGCTGGAGGCATTAATGTTGAAAGGATTTAGCTCTTTCCCCACTACTGCCATTCCCTACCCACCCTGACCTCCCATCCTCCCAATACAGTCATTTCAGAATTTTGGGTGGAGCAGTAGAGCAGTATCAGTGTTTAAATCAGTAGGACTTTGTGAACACGGTGCAGTTGAGCCACAGTACCATGTACTGTGGTTATTTTTCCTTTTTGTTTTTGCAAGGCTTTTTTGTCCCCTGGAGTTGTCATTGCTTTTGTTTCATTTACAGATTCTGCCCCACTTGAGTCTCTCCACATAATGGTTACACAATCAGGCTTTTGGTTGATTCTACCAGTTTCATCTTAAAAACGCTGAGGGCACACTTACAAGTGAAGTGGGGCTAGAAAGAGCAAGTCAGGAAGCCCCCACCATCACTGGTGCCAGTACCAAATTGTCTTAATTACTGTCACCTTGTAGTAGAGCTTGAAGTAGGGGAGCATAACCCCCCCACCCACCCCCACTTTATTCTTCCAACTCCAGTCTGGACTCATTGCCCTGCATCACCATCATCTTGGCATAAACATTGAGGCCCAGGGCAACTTGTCCTGGGAAGTGGTAAAGCCAGGCGACCGTCCTTTGTCCCATGTACCGCTCACACCTTTCTGTTGTCTGACATATAGGGCAGAGGGATGCGTTTAAGTTAGGATTATTTGGTAAGTCTTTAATTAAGAGGCTGTGGGCAGAGGATGGGGAAAAGAACCCACAAGGGACAGTGTGAGACCCCAGGTCTCAGCTTGCAGAAGTGAGGGGAGAATGGTTGTTGGAACCTGTGGACAGACAGACAGGAGGGCTGCCCAGCAGGAGCCTGGGACAGTTGGAGGTGAGTCAGGGGAATACATACCTTGACTGCCCCCTCCTTCCTGTCTTTTGCCAGTGCTCCTGGCTGACCAAAGCAAGAGGGCAAGGAACCCGTTTTGTAGTCCTTATAGGTCAGCCATTCTGGATGGAGAGGGATCCAGATGTGCAGTTGTGTCCTAATGTATTTAATCAGTCTGTGAGTTGGCATCTAAGTTGTTTCTGTTCCTTCGCTGTAACGGTGCTGCAGTAAACCTCACACATTTTTGCGCAGAAGGGAAATCACTGGCTTGGGATCTTTGCTTTTAACATTTTGCTAGTTCCAAATTGACCCGCCAGAGAAATTAAACCAATTTATGTTCCTAAGGAAAGGTTTCCTCACTTCTGCCGCTTCTTTGGTAATCTGCAATCCAACAGGTGAAAATCATTTGAGTTCCTGTGACTTTATTGGGAAGGTACTGAGAACCTCTTCACAGGCTATCTAGGTTTTGGCCTTTGTGGGCTTTGCCTTTTGTTTGAGTTGTAAATCCTACTGATGTATAAAACTGTAGCAAGGAAATTAGCCTGGTGTTTTGAGTTTCGTAAACATTCTTTTGGTATGGCCCTCATTGATTTTGTTTTTGGTAAATTTTGCCATGCAGAGGTTTTCACGTCATAATTCAAACCATCCAAGTTTGGGGGTGTCCCCTCTCTTAGATTGTAAGACTGTCCCCCATGCTTGTTTCATGGTCCTATTTATTTATTTATTATGTATATCTAAGTGCTTTACTTTTTTTTTTTTTTTT